GGGTGTGATTTGGTCCTTCTTGCTAGGCTTGATTGGCTTGAGTGTTGTGGATGAATCAAGTTTGTCATCCCAAAAATTATAATCACTTTAGTTATCCTCTTATGTTTGTGAGGGAAGCATAGTAGTCATTGGTGGTTCTTTTAGTCGCCTTAGCCGTGAGCCTCACTCGCTGCCCCTTGGGTTGCCTTTGGTCATGAGTCTTGGAAGCTGTCTTCTGCCTTAGCAGTGAGTCTCATTTAGCCCTGTTTCTTGTCTTAACCGAGGGCCTTGGTGGTTGCTTTCTCTCCTCTATTGGCCCCGGCCCTGAGGATTTATTTAGGTTCTGTGGGAAAATTTCATGTTTATTTGATATACGAGACTTTTTTTAATTCGAAAGTGGGAGAATTTTGATTTCGGCATAAGTTTGAAAATATCGATGGTGGTTTCCCCAAAGTCACTTTCTTTTGAAATTTGGGAGATTTTAAACCTCATTTTGGAAAAGCATTTGATGAACTTGATCAATCTTATGTCTTTGGGGTTTGGGAAAATTAGCGCGAACTTGCCTTTTATGTTTGTTAGGAAAGACCTTAGGTCCTACTTTTTCAGGTCTCTTCGATACGAGTTTTGAGAACTGATTCATTCTCCTTTTTGGTGTTTTAGATGGATCGGTGCATCCTCTCTCTCACCACATTTTTGTTCTTTTCTTTCCTTGCTTCTTGGTTCGTTCTTTTTTATGCTTATGTCCGATGAAAAGTGTCCACGTATAGCCTTTTGTTATACGAACCATCAAACAAGGTCGCAAGTAGTCGTTTTGGGGCGTACGGTGTTGATGATAAAGACACACCGAAGATAGAGCCGAAAGATGCTCTATTCTATAACATCAAGATCCAGACATTTGATGAACAATAGGATATGGTATCCTTCACCGACATAAGTCTAGCGGAAGCTGGCTCGAACCTCCTCAGATGATTGGCAGTCTCACGCCCGACAATGTAATCGACTCGTGGACAACAAAAATTTCTAAAAAAAATAAGTTTTGATAAACCCTTTTCAAGTAAAAAAAAACAAATTGATAACTCTTCTTTGTATGTTTAAAATTTGTGTGTATGTCAAAAACATAAATTTTAAAATACATTTTAAAGCTGGTTGTCCACCTGACGAATACTTGTTTAGGTTGGGAAATAACCCTCTAGGTGAGATTCAAGACACATTTCTAGATGAGTGGCGAGTTCTATACATTCGGGTGACCGAGCAGCCTTCGTGGACCCTCGAGAATAAATATACAGCTGAGCCTAGTCTCATACGAGTGCTTGCGGTCCCCCTCATCCAAACTTTTATTTGTTTTGTTTTATCGAAGCTTTGGGATAGGGCATTCGTGTTACTTTTCCTTTCTTTCGGGATTTCTCCAGGATTTTTGAGAATTTTCTTTTATTTGAGTCTCTTCTCGTTGATTTTCTCGAGTTTTTTGCTATTC